AATAATAACTGTTGGAAAAAAACTAACTAAAAAAAAGTAAATAAATAAATAAAAAGAAGAAGTATGACCTAGAAGAATAATTAATTTCTATGTCCCCGACAGCGGCATCAAAAACTTAATGTTCCCAACTGCACACACAAGTGTAAGTCGTCGCCAAGTAATATAGTGGCTTTTAAAAGAACCAGATTATCGAACCCAAAGGACTTGTCAATTAACCATTTTTACGAAATTATACTAGTCTAATTACTTATCTAAGAGTGCCAAAAGAATTTTTTTTTAAAATAGAGAAGATAATGCATGAATTAAATAATAAAATTGCTTATATTAATTGGAAAATCACAGGGCTGCAGCATGTATTGAATCTCATGTATGATCTGTGCTACACACCTCTCAACACCTACCCCAATTAGTTATCTAATTACATCGCTGAGCGAAGATAAATAGACTAACTGACGAGCATTTTATATTTCATCATGTTTTGTAACCAAGTAAGGTGTTCGTATGGGCATCACCCATGAACATTAATCACCTCAATCTTATGTGTGGACCTAGCTCTCTATATTTTCTAGAAGGGGGTAAATTACATAAAATTAAACAACATTACATTGCATGCTCGTGGAAGGGGATAAATTTTTTTTTTTTTGGAAAACAAAAAAAATTAGGGATAGGTTGGTGGACGTAGGGATGGGGGCCGTGGGAGAGGGTAATTTTTTTTTTTTTGAAAAATAAAATGTTTAGGGGTATTTTTTTATTTTTCGAAAACAAAATTTTTTAAGGGTAGATTGGTGCAAGGTCGAGGGGGGAGGGTGCTCGGGAGAGTGGGTAAATTTTTATTGTTGAAAAAATAGATTTTTTTTAATTTTTCGAAAACAAAAACCTTTAAGGAGTAAGTTGGTGGAAGGTCAAGGAAGGGGGAGGGGGTGCCTGTAAGGAGGGATAATTTTTTTAAAAAAAATAAATAAATTTATTTAAATGGGTTAGAAACACTTTGTTCAAACCATCCATATTTGACCAAATCCATATTTGCCCATATTATATTTGATTGGTTTGTAATTCAAAATATTTTTTCTCAATTCATATTCAACCCACCCAAATCCAATCCAATCTAACCATTTGTTACCCCTACTGGTGGTGAGCAAGGGGGGTGCCCGGGGGAGGGGGTAATATTTTTTTTTAAAAAAAAACAGATTATTTCCTTTTTTTGGAAATAATTTTTTTTAGTGGTGGTTGGTGAAAGGTGGGGGTGGGGGTGCCTGTGGGTAGGGGTTAATTATTTTTTTAAAAAATAAATAAAATTATTTAAATGGGTTAAAATCATTTTGCTCAAACCATATTTTACCGAAATCATATTTGATCATATTATATTTGGATGGATTGTAATCCAAATTATTTTTTGTCAATCCATATTCAACCTATCTAAATCTGATTCAATCCAACCATTTGTCACCCCTAGGTGGAGTTAAATATGCCTTTAATATATACTCCTTCCGTCCCACTTCATATGTTACATTTTTACTTTGCACTTGTTTTAAGAAATGATGTAATTTTACCTTTATATCTTTATTTAATGTTTCTTAAATCAACTTTATAATAAATGATAGATACATTTTCAAGATTAATTAACTAATCTACCAAGGGTATAAATATGGTAATTTGTGCATAAATTTATAAAATAACAAGTATTATGGTTCAGATATTTATAGAAAAAGATGACATATAAAATGAGACTGAGAGAGTAGTTATAAGGTCTTGGATATCCAAAAAGTATAACGAAGATGAATATAATTTATTTCCGACAGCTAGTACAAAAATAATTATGACTCTTTTTCCGTAAAATAAAAAATTTAGTAATTACAACTTAAGGTTTGTTGGAACAGAATAAGAGAGTGTTCTTTGTTGAATAGAACTTAATATGCTAAATGATTTTTCTATTTATATATAATTATGATCATAGAAGAGACTATTTTTTATGTAGATCGATGGTTGATTGAATAATATCTGTGAAATTAGGTCTTAGGCCTAACTCATACCCCAAAAGCTAGCTCAAAGGGAGGAGGATTGTCCAAGCCTTATAAGGAGTTCACCCATCTCATTAACCACCGATGTGGGACTATTTGTCATTCTTTAACACCCCACCTCACGCCCAGTGCTTAGCATCTGGTGCGTGGACAATTTTGATTTCGGGGGCCCCAATATCGAGTGAGACGGCCCCTACTATGATACCATGTGAAATTAGGTCTTAGGCCTAACTCACACCCCAAAAGCTAGCTCAAACAGAGAAGGATTGCCCAAAGCCTTATAAGGCTCACTAACTACCGATGTGGGATTTTTTGTCATTCTTTAACAATATCTCATATTATGTATCCGATTTATTTTATAATATATCCGAATTAATTTTTAATATGTTCGGGCTATATATTATGTATTCGATTTATGCTATATGTATTCGAGATACTCTTTAATGTATCCATGCGAGCTATATATTAATGTATTTGATTTATATTACTTTTTAAGAAATTAATATAATTACAAACTAAAAAGGGATATATAGTAATTTCATATTAAAACGATATGATTCCTAAAATTTATACTAAATAACATGTCAAATTGTTTGAAGTTTGGCTTTGACAAGCCTGACATCAGTATATATCAAAAGAGGTTAAAACTTCTAAACTATGCTTTAAAAGTAATTAAGGAAACATAAGTACATATTTTGATGATAGCCTGAATAATTAATAATCCTTTATTTACAGTCTACAGAACAAGTAAAAAGGAAATATACAAGTCTAATTATAAAGAAAAATTAGTATCATGACTATAAATGAAGAGAAGTATCAACATCAGAGTTTCCAAATTTATGTTTTGGACTAAAACTTGACCAAAACTTTTGTGTTTTCATAACTCTTAGACTTGTTTGATTGTTGTAATTATTCAAGCTAAGTCCAAGTGAAATATTTTGATCTTTTTCATGTGTTATAATTACCCGTTGATCGCGTTGTAATCCTTGATTAGAAGTTACATAATTCTTGTTTGAAATCTTCACCACTTGAGCCTCTGGGAACAATTTGAGCGTCTTGTCCTCTCTTTGTTCTCTTGCTCTTTCTAATTGTCTGAATCTTTCTTGTAAAAGTGCAATTGATGGACCTGCTCCAACATTATTATCATTATTATTATTCAGCCTTCCCATCGATCGATTTTAGGAGGGAGGAATAAAAGTGTTTGATATATTTTTTGCTTGTGTTAAATAACTTTTTGCATATGTGTGTGTGTATATAGAGGAGAATTTGTAGTTAAGTTGTTAGCTTTGTTTATAGAAATTTCAGTCATGACGTATTAAAGAGGCGACTAAGGAAGAAAAATACAAGAAGAAATGATACAATTTGATTATGTTATAAGGTTATTTTGATGTGTGTGTTGAAGGCATGAGGAAGAAGAAAATGGTGAGGAGAAATGTACAAAAGATTGATGTATGTTGGTGTTTGGAAGAGAGTATTTGAAGGATAAAAGGGTTAGGTATTGTTACGTCTGTTTTGTTTTTTTAATATGTTTTTGTTTTGAAGTGTTGTTAGTTCCATTATTTCTTTTTCTTATGACTTCAACATCAATTAAAAAAATTATAATTGTTGTTGTGATATAATAAAGAAAGCCATGAATTAAAGACAAACTTTGTAGTAGTTATCTTTTTATGGAGTTTTGTTTGTGTGAATTGAACTTTTTTTTCTTTCTTTTTTCCTGATGATTGTGGGATTGAATCCAAGAGATAATATCAGTCGAACTAGTCGAGATGCGATGAATTACCTTTAATCACTGAAGTGGCCAACAAATGGGTTAATTTTAAGATCATGCATCAATGGATCATCAAGTTCGTTCAAGAAAAATCAAACGTGTAGTTGTAGTTATTTATCTAGACAAGACACCACAATTATAATAAAAAAGTTGAAAACTTTTAGTTTAAATGTATTGTCTTTTTATCTTTTGCTTAAGCATTGATAGGCAGAGTTACACGGTACAAGTAGAGAAGCCAAGAATTTCGTTAAGGAAATTCAAGAGTTAACGCATGAAAAGTAATACAAACCTATACTTAGAATACAAACTTTTTGATGAAAGGATATTCAATTAACCGCCTTTTACAAGCCATAGCTCAAACCCCGTCCGATACTTGTATCAATGGGAGATAACAAAGAATCCAAAAAAAAATACATCAAAATTCATGCAAACTAACTCAAACACCGTCATTATAAATCATAGAAAATACCACACATCAAGAGTCTCAATATTGTTCAGTTGATCTTTTCCTACTCTTGCTAACTACTATGTTTATATTTATATTTACTTTAAAATAAAAGGTAAAATATGGTTGTCGTTGCATACACAATAAGATACTTTTTTTTAAATCAATATTTTTGCCTTCATCTTCCTGGTTTTTTCTATATAATAAGATACTCTTCTCTCTTGATGCATACAGCAGTATTAAATAAAGTTAAAGGACTGATGGATATGTCATTGAAAATTGACATGCCTCCAAATACTAAAGTATAAAATTCACAAAAATCTCATTCATTAGAGACAATATATTAGTCATGTCTCATGGCATTATGAGCTACAAGTACAGTACATTTGAATATAAGACAAGATTGGGATGCATGATTTGGATCTCTTTTTGAGACCCCGTTCTGTTGGTACTATTGAAGAAAGTTACAGGAACGCCACTTTTTTTTTCTTTTTGGCTCTCATTGACTCACTCATGTAACACTACAAAGTGGGGTCTGGGAGGGCGGTGTGTACCGCGACCTTACCCCTACCTTGTGATGGTGGTAGAGACGGTTTCTATAAGGCCATTCGTTCACTCTGTTTACATTATCTCAAAATTTGGCATCTCTTAATTGCTGAATGAATACACTGAATGTAACCCGAAGTGATCATAAGTTATTCCGTATGCAAATTGATCCAAACAGCATCATTACGTTATCGAATAAATTAAATTGAACACAGCACAAAGAGAACCAAAAAAGTTGTGTGAAGATACCTTTATTATCTGCAATTATGACTGAACAATACAAATACTACAACATCCTCTCAACTCTAAATCAATTGCCATGTATTTCTAAAGTATTCAACTCACAGGCCAAGCGAGATCTATGTACATAAACTGATCTGTTACACCTACATGCTATTTCCAAAAATCGACTGCACTCTAGTTTAATAAAATGAATCTTGTGTTAGAGAAGAAAAACAAGAGGGGGGGAAATGAAACCTTTTGGCCGGGGTGTATGTGTTGAAAAATCAATATGGCTGCTCTAGTCAGTACCTTTAGGTCTGATTCCTACTTTGCTGGACATTGTAATCAGCAGGTGAGAATTGACAACTATCAAGACGTATCCTGCAAAACAACAAAGTATACCCAGATTAATTTCCATCCTAAAACTAAAAGATATCAATGCACTGAGGAGAGTATTTGATCTCCCTACTTCTTAATATATAAAAAAGTAGTACATTTTTCAAGTATCCGACAGGAGTGCAGCATCATTTTTGGAGAGTCTGAGCAACATAGCAAATAGACGGTGCAAATTTGAAAAAATCATTCATTTTCATGTTTTACCTTGACACTTCTTTTTCCTTTCCCCAATTTCATTCATGAACACGGCTACAAGTTTTTGGATCAGTTAAGAGCACACAGGGGCACCCTTAAGAAATGTTAAGAGGTCCCTAGATGTCTATATGTAGAAAGTTACCTAGTTTCTTTCCTTAATCTTCACGTTAGTTTCCATTTTAATTGGGCAATATACAGAATAAGAATTTAGATAGACAGGCAAGAGAATGTATAAGGGATTTTAATCATTCCTCCTAGCCAACAACTTTCCATCTCCTTCCCCTTCACATCCCCTAAAACCAAAAACATCAATTTCTTCTCATCAAGGCAAGAGGAACTTTGAAGCACCAGGAGAGAAATGGAAAAAGAAAACAAGATAACTAGAACAAAAGGCTTCAGAGAAGAAAAGAGCAAGACTACAAAATTTTGCCATGTGCAAGTTGTGCTCCAGCTATTCAGATTATCAAATTCTTCTCATTCCTTCTTCTCCTTCTTTTACCTCTACGGCTTTACACTGAATATATAGGCGCTTCATTTTGAGTTTTCTAGGCACTTCATGGATAATACAAGTAGGTTGATGAATTACTAATACTGGACACTAGTAGAGGAGTAGAAATGATAAGAAGTGTGTAAATCATAAAAACGAGTCAAAGTAGATTGTCCCACACTAGCACTTCCGGCAGTAAAACTAATTTTCCAGTGGAAATCTATAAATTCTAAGTAAATCAAGTTTTATTTATGTAAATGTGAAAACCCTATACACAAAAGTGGTATGGAAAAGTAAAGTACAACAATAACATACCCAGTATCATCCCACAAATGAGTTGGAGGGTGGGATGTACGGAAACCTTACCTACCTTTGTGTGGTCGAGAGGTTGTTTCCAGTAGACCGTCGGTACTGAAAAGCAGAGTACGTAAGAGAGAGAAAAAGACTTCCTACAAGGAGTATCCAATCATCTAACAATAAACAATGTCCGCCAAGGTACTCCAAACTTCTATGAAACAACAAAAGTGATCCTCAGATATCTAAAAACAAACTTTCAATCTCTTCAAAAATCTGATTTTTCTCTCCAAATGTCATGAGCACAGATAAGGAACTTCCCAAGGTTTTTCTCTTCTCTTCCTTCTAGTTGGCCGACTTAAAAACATGCCTTTCAATTGCTGACTTTACCTATTTAATACCAAACAGGCTCCGAATCGGGGAGTCCAAGCTCTAATTCTTCTAACTGCCTGATGTTAAAACAAGTCTTTAACAATTGCCGACATTACCTATTCAGTACCAAACAGGTTCCATTCGACCAGCAATTGTTGTTGAAACTGACAGAGAAACAACAAGTGGATCACATCTTTCCACTACCATATAACACCAATCGAAATGAGTGATATTCCTCTTCTTCAGATTCTCGGTAGTAAAGATGACCCCCCCAATATTCCAACCAGATGAAGAAAAAAAAGTTTTATTTGCATCCTTGGTACCATACTGAGGAGTACAGAAAGGTCCTGTCTCATCTTCACAGTAATCTACGAGAGAGAGAGAGAAAACTGTGAAAATCCTTTGTTCTGTTCTTCTCACTTCCAAGACCTCTAACCTCGGTGAAATTCTCTGTTTGTGCATAGTACCTCAAGTAAGTCATGGAGTAAATTTGCTAGTGGCTCAGCTTTCCTTAGTTTTCTTCCATTTTAAAAAAAAAGTAAACAAAGATGTCCCTATTTTTATTATGTTACCAAGGTTTTCTCAGTTTCTCTAATGGTACCAAACAGAAGGAATATGTTTGTTAGGGTCAACTTGATTTCTGACTTCAATTTTAGGCTGGTAAAATTTTATTTTTTTTTGAGAATTAGGCTAGTAGAAGTTTTGAAGGGTGAGGGTATGTGTAAATATACGAGTGGTCCAACTTTTCAAAAGTTACACTCTCGCAGCTATCAGGGGCGTGTACCCCAATGTCGTCACCCCACATACAATCTTTTCAAACTGCAGGGAAGTGAGCTATTTGTATTACAGAAGCATAGTCACCAGCCAATTTTTCACGGTCTCTAGTTTTTCTTTGTTGACAGAGTTTGAGAATGTAGATCACTGTTAAAAGACAACTTGTTCGAAAGAGTCATCTCAAAAGTTGGTTCAATTGTGGATTCACCTTTCTTGGTTGACTAGGATTTTTCTAAAGCCTTGCCCAGAGAAAGGCTTGCAAACCGAAAGACAAAGTGATTTTTCGCAACAATAATCGAAACATCTTGATGTGGAAAAGAAGGTGTAGACATGAGAAATATGGTGGGTGATTGTTAGAAGGATCAAGAAAATTAAAATTTTATCAATACACATCCAATGAAGATATGGATGTCGAGGAAGGATGAGCAAACTCAAAAAAAGAATCTGTTGTGAGGGAGTATTTGTCAACTAAAGTAATTGCATTCTCACCTCACAACAAGTTCCTTTTTTGACTTTGCTCATCTTTCCTCGACATTCATATCTACATTAGATATTTATTGACAAAAATTTTAATTTCTCGATCCTTTTAACAATCATCCACCATATTCCTCGTATCTGTGCGTTCTTTTCCACATCAAGATGTTTCAATTACTTGTTGCAAAAAGTCACTTTCTCTTTCCGGTTGCAAGTCTTTCTCTCGCAAGGTTTATCCAAATCAACGAATAAAGGTGACTCCACATTTGAAATAATTTTTGAGACAATTCTTTCGAAAAAAGCTATCTTTTGACAGATATCTACGTTCTCGAACACTGTCAACAAAGAAAACTAGAGACCGTAAAAAATTGGCTAGTGACTATGCTTTTGTAATACAAATAGCTCACCTCCCTAAAGTTCGAAAAGATTGTATGTGGGGTGACGACATTGGGGTACACGCCCTGCGAGAGTGTAGCTTTTGAAAAGTTGGACCACTCGTATATTTAAGCATACCCATTTACCCATCCTTGGTATCATACGGAGGAGTACAAGAAGACACTGTCTCATCCTTCACAGTAACGTATGAGAGAGAGAAAACTGTGAAAATCCTTTGTTCTGTTCTTCTCACTTCCAAGACCTCTAACCTCGATGAAATTCTCTGTTTGTGCATAGTACCTCAAGTAAGTCATGGAGTAAATTTGCTAGTGGCTCAGCTTTCCTTAGTTTTCTTCCATTTTTAAAAAAAAAGTAAATAAAGATGTCCCTCTTTTTATTATGTTACCAAGGTTTTCTCAGTTTCTCTAATGGTACCAAATAGAAGGAATATGTTTGTTAGGGTTCTATAGATCAAGGAAGAACACGTTTCTTCTTCAGCTTTAACCACTACACTGAGCATGAAATACACTAATTAATTCCAGAGAAAGATAAGCCAGCAGATATAATTAGGGTTCTATAGATCAAGGAAGAACACGTTTCTTCTTCAGCTTTTACCACTACACTGAGCATGAAATACACTAATTATCCTATTGTTATGACATGCTTCACTTAAACTTCATTAAGAAGCATGATTGTGGTGGGGTGGGGAGGAAATCCATATGAACGGTGAACCCCAAAGCAAAAAGTACAAAAGAGAACTGCCTATTCATATTATTTGTATGAAGAAGTTAATATGAAAATACTAATATGTCAGGATACATGACGAACAGACTGCTGCTATTGTTTATTATCAGGGAAACTTTGGTAATCTTTTAAGCAATCAATTCTAAATGAACTATCCTTTCTCTTGTTTTTATGCTTGATGACCAAGTCTCAAAAATTCTAAAAGAAGAAGGAACTTAATTTCTTGCTACTACGAAAACTTGAGAAAAAAATGAAAACAAGGGTTTTAAAGGCAATCTCACTCACCTTGTGCACTTGACCTGCAAAAGGTCAGTTCCTTCATCATGAAGCTCAGCAACAACTCAGCTTACCAGCAATCACGCAGCTGCTTCTGAAACAGAAGATTTTTTTCAGCTTAGCTTCCTCTTCAATCGAGCTTCAGTGACAGTAGTTGAAGAAACCATAGATGAGAGGCTATTGTAAGATTAGAAATCAACTCACTTATTTCTGCTTTCTGGGGCTGTAGATCAATTCTCATGAAATCATTTGACTCGTATTAATTAACCATCTAGTTTGGACAATTTTCTTGCCAAGATGACATATGTCTGGAAACTAATATTGCAGCTCTTGGATTCCATGACATGAAGAAGCTTCATGCACAATTCGGATTCTCTCTCCTTAAGTAAACCATCAATCAGGATGGTCCAAACAATCTCATCATTGTTCCATTTTTTCTCAAGCATGTTTTCAAATAGCACTTCAACTTCTTTTAGTCGGCTACTTCTACAGAGAGCACAAATGAGTGATTGATAAATTGACAAAGGAGGTTGAAAACCTTGTTGAATCAATGAATCAAATATTTCCAAAGCGGCATCCACTTTTAAATTGTTGCAATAAGAAACTAAAAGAGAGCAATATGCTGCACTAGTAGGACTGAAGCCTTTCTCTCTCATATGTTCAATCAACTGGTCTGCCTCATAAGTTTTACCTTCTCTATACAGACCAAGAATTAAAGTGCAATATGCGCCTTCATTCGGCTCAAAACCAACTTCCGACATTCTATTTAGTAGAGTACGTAACAGTTCAATACTAACATCCTTCTTGATAGCTGTGCTACTATACACTGTTTCACGCTTGATGGAGACCTTCCCTGAAATCAATTCATGTTCCTTTTGCAATCCTTTCAACAATACACTAAAGGTTCTATAATTTGGTTGACAACCCTTATCAACCATCTGGCAAAGAAGTAAAAGCGCATGATCTAGTCTATCCAATGCTACAAAACCATCAATTAGTGAAGTATAAGTCACATAATCAGGAGCTAATCCTTTTTTCTCCATTTCCCCGAGTAAGCTCTCTGCTTTATCAGCCTGACCTTCAAGACATAAGCCATAGATTAGCGAACTGTAAGTGTACAGGTTCGGCATGCAATTTCTTCTCTCCATATCATGCAAAATCTCAAATGCAACATGAGTTTCACCATTCCTACAAAGACCATTAATCAAAGTTGAGTAGGTGATTACATTTGGGAGCAGTTCACTTTCTGCCAGCTTATTACATAGTCTTTTTACTTCCAAAAGCCTGTTTTTTTTGGACAAACCATTTATGATAGCATTGTAAGTTTCAATGCCTGGACTGCAACCACTCTCTTCCATCCTTTTAAGTAATGCAAGTGCATCATCTACTTTCTCTTCCTTCGACAAACCATCAATTAGAGCTGTATAGTTTACCTTGTTTGGACTTAAACCATTCTTTATCATTTCCTGGAAGAGAGCTGAAGCTAAATCAAGCTTGCCCCTCTTGCAGAAACCAGAAATAAGTTCGGCATAAGTCCATTCATCAGCTTTACATCCATTATTCTTCATCAAATCCAGCAGTCTCATAGCATTGTCAAGAAAGCCCCGTTTAAGGTAGCCATTAATGAGGGTATTATAAGTAATCACTGTTGGAGCCGGACCCACCTTTAGCATTTCACTTAGTAAAACCATTGCCCTTTCAATATTCCCAACCAAGCATAATCCATGGATCAGTGCATTGCAAGTTATAGTGTTGGGTTTGTATCCATGTGCTTCAATCCAACGGAAAATATTAAAAGCTCTGTCTATATATTTTGCTCTACACAATTCAGTTATCAATATATTGAATGTAACCATAGTTGGGAGCAAACCTTTTCTCAACATGTCGTTATACAATCCAATTGCCACTTCAAGGAATCCAGATTGAGACAGTCCACTAATTAGAGCTGTATATGTCTGGACATTTGGTTCACATCCCCTCTTTCTCATGTTCACTACAAGATCAACAGCCTCTTTCTCACGTCCAACTGCACACAAGGAACTAACTGGAACTGTGTATGTATACACAGTGGGTTCAATACCTTTCTCAATCATCTCGTCAAGCATATCCATAGCCTCATCGACTCTCCCCTCCGAACAGAGTCCATTTATAAGAGTAGTATAAGTTGCTGCATTCGGATCTATTCCATCCTGAACCATCCGATCAAATACCACAAATGCTGCATCCATGTCCCTGTTCCTACAATGCCCCAGAATCAGAGATGTATATGTAAACACATCGGGACTCAATTCCCGCTGATAAATATGACTCATTATCATCTTGGCCTCTTCAACTCTCCCTTTCTTGCACAATATGTTTATCATAGTGTTAAAAGTTAGTAAACTCGGCACCATTCCACTGCTCATGATTTCTTGATAAGCACTCTTAGCTGCCTCAACCATCGCAAACTTACCCAATTGAATCAACAAAGTATTAAAGCTATACAAAGTATACCCAAGACCTTTTCTGCTAAGTTCACTTAAATACTCAATAACCCATTTCATTTCCTCCTGATTTCTACAACCTTTGATCATCAAGATCCTCACATGATCAGCAGGAGCAAACTTCTTATCAAAAACAAGCCTATTCAACATGGAAACATAGCAGTTCCTATCATGTTTGTAAAAATGCCTCTTAGAAACCCAGTAAAAAAACTGCAAAGCTACTTCAGTATTTTCATGTATCTCAACGATTTTTGCGACGTGTGGGGGTCTTAATATGGAGCTCAATGACTGAAGCTCTCCATTTGTCTGCCATTGCAGCCGTGGATTAGACAAAATATCCGATACCTTAGAAACAATAAACAAAAGCCTCTTACTTTCTTCTGTTTGTATGGACTCAGATTGATCAAAAAGATCGGGTTTTGATGAAAATTGAAGACGACCCAGATAAGTATAACCCCTGAATCTGCTCCTTCGATGCGGATTTAAGGAATAGAGTAATATGGGTTTGAGGGGCTTTACCATTTCGAGCAGTGAATGTGAGGATAACAGTGTGAAGAGTTCATGAAGATGGTGTCGGATTGATCAGAAGAAAATGGAGAAGTGTTGATGTGTTGAGTCATGAGTGAACGTGGTCATGAGGAGACCACAACAAAAAATGGTGGAAGAGAGGAGAATATAGGGAAAGGGGAGACTCCGTAGGTGCAAATGCAATGGCATCAAACCTCAGTAGCCAAAGCCCAAAAGGGCCCCCAATGGCTTTTTTGTGAGGTTTTGGACTGTAAAAGATTTTAGGGTTATTCTCAGATTTCAAAAAAATTTCTGGGCAAGAAGATGAGTGGTGTTTAATAAAGGTTTTGTTTGCTAATTGGTTAGAATTATGTTCGTGAGATAGAAATTAAGAATGAGTAAATTTATATATTCATTATATCGTATGCAAACATTAGTTATTTATATATTAGTTATATATCTAGAGTATTTGTTTTTTTTTATTTTTATAAAAATAATAAATAGAGTTTTGTATAACTTACAGTAAATGTTATATTAATTTCAAATATAAATAACTTCATTTTTATTCAAAAAAAATTCACATATGCCATTGAACTTATAAAAAAAGTCTTGTATATATCAACGGTTAAAAGTTTAGCTTATTTATGTCATTCATGTCTCGAAGTTCAGTGGCAATTTGAGCCATATTATTAAAAATTAATTAATGACGAAATCAAATCATAATTGACCACTTATAAAAATGATTTACAAATTTTCATAACAAATAATGACATGTCTTTTCTCAAACAAAAATCCATATATAACTAAACTTTTAACGAATAATATAAACATGGGCGGTGTCACGTAGGCTCCAGGGTCTCCAATTAGACACCCTTCATCGAAAAAAAATGTTATATATATACGTACAATTTTGATTTAATATTGATATATATAAAAGTTGGACCCCCTAAATTGACTAAGTGAGACGTAGTGGAGTTGGCAATAGCTGTTGCATTTCTACACTTTGCCCAGGTTTAATTCTCGCAGGGTGTATCATTTTTCTTAAATTACTTTTGACTTCTTGAATTTAATTAATTAAAAAAAATATGCTTAATTTTAGCATAAACATTTAGTAGTGTGTTGGTTCATTGTGTCATGAACCCCTCCAGATACCAAGGTTAAATCCCCTCTAACATAAATTATTTTTTTCCAATTAAAATTGAATCATTTCATTAAATTTTAATATCTTTTCACTATGGAATAAAATGTCCTAAAATTTAATATTTTTTCTTTGAGGATTTTTTTCAATTAAAATTGAATTATTTTCTTAAATTTTAATACATTTTCTTGTAGAATAAGATTTTCTCTTTTAAAAAAATAAAAAATTCTATTGGAACAAGGTTTTCTTTCTGTATAAATATGAGACGCAATTACCCAAATTAAATCACCATATTTTTAAATAGAATCTCAATAATTCTCTCTCTTTTTTTTCTTCTCGTTCTTTTATTTTATAACAAAATATCAACATAATATTTTAGTTTCAAGTTTCAATGAAAAAGAGAAATTATTATTATAAAGTACCAAAAAGAAGTTTGACTTCTCTAAGTAAATCAAATAAAGAAACAACGATAGATCAATTAGAGATGTTGTCACATTCTTCTAAAAAAACAAAACATTGATTTATATATTCTAGAAATTGATCCAGCAAAAAGAACTTCAATTTTAAATCATGATACAAATCTCCATGATGAAATAAGAAGGGCATACCTTAAACTTGGTCCTTGTCGACCAAATATTACAGAATACCATTAATCATATATTGCTAAAGCAATGCGTCGTTTTAACCCTGACTCGTATCAAGCGTATGACTAATTAGAGTAGTGAGAGTGCAGATGCAATATATTGTTAACCTTGTTATTTATTTAAAGGAAATAATATTTATCAAGGTGGAGGTGAAGTATTTTCAAAAACAAGATTTAACAATTGGCATAAAAAAAAAAAAGTTTGAAGAACATGTTGGTGAATCAAATAGCGTTCACAATCAAGCAAGGATGATTGTGCGATGATACTTGTTGAAGTAGCCAAGAAAAGGCTTCATGTTACATTTGATGAAAACGCCATGATACTTGTTGAAGTAGCCAAGAAAAGGCTTCAAAAACTAAGAGATGATCAATGAGAGCCACTTATCAATAAAATATCTTTGTCTTGTATCAAACATGGCATCTTGATATCCGATTTTGATGAGCCCTATGCTAACTCTGAAAGATCACGACGTAAAATTGTTGATCATACTATTTTACATCATTTTCGTTTGGAAGTATTTTATAAAATCATTGATTGTCAACTCCAAGAATTTAATGATCATTTCACTGAGGTGACAAGTGATTTGTTTCATGGAGTAGCTTGCTTGAATCCAGTTAATTCATTTTCTAGTTTTGACATCGGAAAAACAATGAGAATGACTGAACTATATCCTGATGACTTTGATCAATTTAGTATGGGCGTCCTTCAAAATCAGCTTGCCAATTACATTATCGATGTACGCGATACTGATAAAAGATTCTCTGATTTAGGTGGACTTTGTGAACTTTCAAGAAAATTGATAGAGACAAAGAAAAACTTAACTTATCCATTTATATTTTGCTTAGTGAAATTTGTTTTGTTTTTGTCAGTTGTTACTGCAACCGTCGAAAGAGCTTTCTTGGTAATGAAATATATTAAAAATGACTTGCGAAACCGAATGGGTGATGAGTTTTTAGACGGTTGTATAGTGCCTTATGTAGAAAAAAAATATTTCGTACTATTTCTAACAAGTCTATTATAAAAACATTTCAGCATATGAAACCTCGTCGAGTACAATTGTAAAAATATTTTTGAATTATGTTTTCAATAGTAGTTTATTTTCTTTATGTTAGTTTTGAATTATACACTTGTAGTTCTATTAAAAATATTATTATATTTAATTAAATATTGCTTAACTTAATTATTTATTTTGGTAATTTAAATTGTCATTTTTTTTTTAAAAAAATACTACTAAAAATTTGAATATCCTTAATGAAATTCCTGGTTACGCCACTGAATATAAATAAATCTTTTCTTAAACTTTGATAGGATATTTTAGCATTACTCTTTGTTTAATTATCTATTATATCGTAGTTTGTGTTTCACAATTTACACTATCACGATATTCATATTATTACTGATAGCAAAGAAGACATCAAACATTAGCTGGATAGATTTAAGAAAAATATAAATTTGAATTATTAAAGTTCTATGATTATATAGAGTAATATTATCTTTTTGTCGGATAAATACCTTAAGACTTCATCTACTTAATAATATTTGTCTATAATTTACTTACTTCATAAAAGACTATAACTAAAAGGTTATCTTAAAATATCACCCTTTGAATATATTTCCTCATTTTCTTTTTCTCGTTGTTTATTCCTAAAATAGATTTTCATTTTTACTTGTCACTTTCAACATATCAAGTAAAGACAATAATTTTTTTTAATATAAGTCATCGACAACCTCTTAAAGTTATCCGCGTAATTCATTTAGACACCTTAACTAGGATTTGTACCTATTGAACACCTAAATTATTCAAAACATGTACTTATTAAACACAAAACACTGATATGACAAAAAATGTGCTCTACACTTTCCTGAAGCGCGTGAAAAGGTTCAAAATAGTGTATTTTTATTTTTACATTTTTTTCCTTTTATTGACACTTGACACTATTATTAAGTTAAAAATATTTTTCTTCTTTCATTTGCAGTTTTTTCGAAGAGTACCCCTCCTCCACTGCTCATCTTCTTCAAAATTTATTTTGCAAATCTTTCTCCGTTTTAGCTCCAACATTCTTTCTTTCTTCTTCATTTTCCAAATCTGAAGATAAATGAAAATCAACTATGAAGAAATCATACGATTCAGTTTTGAAAGAAAAACTTTCTTTTGTGTGATTTGTTGCAAGTTTCATAAACATAATGGAACAAATATGAAGAAGAAGAAAAAAGAAGATAAATGATTTATAGTATAAAAAAAGTTAATTAATATTTTTATCACAATTTTTGAACAAATAATTTTACTCAAATTCAAATATAAATCCATTAAATTTATCAAAACTGATTCCAAAATTTGAAAGAATAAATTTTTTGAGCTATTAATTTTTTTTATCGATGTAGAAATGAATAATCACCGGAAAATTTTATTTGTTCTTTACCCTTAATATGAAAATATATCTTTTTAAAAAAAGTTTATCTTCAAGTTATTTAAAAAAGAAATTAGATTTTGTTATTTGAGAAAGAATGTGTTTCGAAAAAAAGATGAAGTTGAAAGGGGAGGTTTTATGATTTAAGAAAGAATATGTTTTGAGAGGAAGTTGAAGATAAAAGAGGGTTGGGGTGGGGGTGAGATTCTTAGAATAGGTTGATATTTTCCTTATTATTTTTTTTTTAAAAAAGTAGATATAAAATGCGTTTGAAATAATTCTAATAAAATTTAATTTTTTTATAATTTTGGGGTTCCAGTGTCACGTGTCATTTTTTAATTAGTTGTTTTGTCATGTCAGGGCAAGTGTATCACACACTCTTCATGGCAAGTGTATCACACACTCTCCAATAGGAATAATTTTGAATAGGTAAAAGTGTTCAACATGTACTAGTCTTAGTTGAGATGTCTAAGTGAATTATGCGGACAACTTTAAGGGGTCGTCGATGATTTAAGTCATTTGTTTTTCATGTTTTACACTCAGTATTAAATATTATTTTTCGAATCATTTTTCAAGACATCATTCAATAGGAATAGTTTGGTAAAATACACATGTCAATAATTATTTCCTTAATGAGTGCGTCAAGTCAAAATGTGAAAAGTAAAATTGAATGGAGTGAGTAAAAAGAACAACATCTTGAAAATGTAGTAAAAAAATTACATGATAGAGGTAAATTAAAAAAAATTAAGTATAAATTATTCATTGATTTTAAAAGTGGACAAATATTATTAAACATTTCAATATTATATAGTTATTATTATAAATCCATTGTATAGTATATGAAGATTATCTGTTAGATTTATTCACTATTAATTGGATTCATGTATAGGTGCTTCCAAGGTGATAAAAACTTCCAAAATAACTACGTATCTATTAATTAGATGACTTTTGGAGTGATATCTCAACACTATAAATAGAGAATCACTAACCATTTGAAAGACACACTTGAATAAGAAAATTTCTCTCCTCTATCTTATATTTTGTCCTTTTCTTATTATTATAATATATATCTGAGCTTTCTTTATAATAGTTATAACTATTATTAGACGAAGAGCGTATAATTTTTACTGAATCCCTTAGCTAAATTGACATGACACTTTGATTTCAAGAAGTTAACACATGTTAAAGGGAAAGAGAGTGAAACTAATTAATATCCCTATGCTAGGACATTTTTCCTATTTGAACTCCTATATTTTAGTGAATTTTAGAAATATTGTATAGTGGATGACTACTATCCAGACTCAAATAGTAAAGTATTTATCATGATAAAAAAAAATTAGAATAAATATTGTGAGTAATTAAAAAATAAGGATGTGGTACCTCTTCATTTCAACATATTATTGAAAATTTTGAGGTTTTAATCTTATTTGTGGGTCATAGTAATTAAGTGAAATTGAATTGAATGTTATTGATATAGTTGTGGTGAAAGTGATAAGTACTCATTTATTTTAAATCATAAGTTTTAAATTTGAATCAGATACGGAACTAGACATCAAATGAAAATAAAAATAAATTAATAAATAAATTTGATGTTATACAATAAAAATAATGTAACATGAAAGCAACCTCATATCTTCGTCCTATACGCTTATACTTATACAATAAAAATATTCCTCTGCCCAATTTTCTTTTATTTCTCTCTCTTTCTTGTTTTATACATACACAAATTATACAATTGATTTGTCTACAACTGTTTTCTTTTGTATATGTATAACGAATTATACAATTGGTTTTATTTACATATGTATAACGAATTATACATATTTATATTTGCTATAGATCACAATTATGCAAACTTTGCTATAACATACGAATACAAATTATGTATTTGCTATATATGAAAGTTGTCCCTAAATAATCACAGTTAATCCATCTTTGTGAAATCAAACTAAATCATAACATATCATTCTAAAACACTCAGCATAACGACATAAAACAGTGGGAAAATGTATATGATTAAAGTGTTCAAGTGAAATACTAGACTAGCTTATAAGGTCGTTTATGTATCCCACGATCTATTTATATTTATATTTTATATTAGAAATAAAAATATAAATAAAAAATTAAATTATCTAAATACTCTTCTTATTAACCTATTATCTTATTTAATAAAAAGAGAAAACTAATTCCTACAAAAAGAAATCAATGTCTCACGTATATTTTAACCTTGTTCCAAATGAAAATTATCACTATTTAATTTCATTTACCACTAAACAAAAGAAGATAAAAGTCATTATCGAAATCAACTTTCCTCAATCAATCTTTGAGGAATTTCTATAAGAAATTGACCTAAAATCATTAATCGATTTAAGACTTTTGTATAAAAGTACATAAATTTAATTTTTACAACACAAAAATTCACACATCAGAGGACTAAATCTGATTTTATAAAGTCCGGCTTAGCAAAGTCAACAAAATCTTACTCGACTTTTTACTCCTCCAATTTGGATATTTTGTTTGTCCCTTTTTATTTATTATTTTTGATAAATAATTTTTGCATATTATATTCTCAATTATTCAGAGAAGCTAATGTTTTGAAAAAAAAATAGAACAATAAATTGATTTTTTAATTTATCAATTAATACAGATAAAATAAATGTGTTCCAAATTAAAAATAACCAAACAGAAATGGACAAATGGATGATAACAATTTAAATCTTCAGTTCTAAATGAAAAATTATTTCAAACTATAAAGTAAAAAAAAAGAAAAATGTCGTTTTATTGATTTTTTTTACTAAATTGTAGAAAATTGGATGTTTGTTTAGCATTTTCTTTTTGTTCTTATACAATACTTATGTAAATTAGTGAAAATCTATATATTTTATTTATACGCATAGAATGTGAAATCTAGATATATTTATAATGCGTGGATTAGAATATTAAAATGACAAACTTCATAATAGTGAATATATTTTTTAAACTAAAAAGTAAATAAATATCTTACATTATACTCTCTATATCAATTTTGTACTATAATCAAACTAAATATCAAAACAAAAAAATAATTCTCTCATTTTAATCTCAACATTATTAATTTTGGCATAACAAATTCTGCATAATTCATCTCCAAATTAATATTTAAATTCATAAATTTTCTCATAATTTACATATGTATTAGTTATGCGATATCTTAAATTACAAAAAAAACACCATTTTATTTTTATATTTGAATAACTTACTACATAAATCAACTAAGTACTTAACATGAATTATTTCTACATAATTTAATATCTGCATAACTTATCTCCAAATAAACAACCAAACAACTCCTTAGAAACAATAGTCTCACAATAAAACGCAAAATTATTTTATCTTACGTTTAATTAAAGATATTAATTAATTCTGAAAAATCAAAACTTTTTGTCCAATCTCTTTCTTTAAATCATTAATTTCATAAAATATTTTTATTAATAAAATAATATTATGTATCTTATCCCGCGTACCAAAGGCGAGATAATTTTTTAAGTAAAGAGTTTGAAATGGATGGTCCTGGAATACTCGTACTAGTCTACTATAAGTGGTCCACTATATTGCACCATTTATTAGTTTGACTTGTATTATTTTAATTTTAGGGCGACTTAACAACCAACTACTAGACAAAAAATCAACTAATTTACTTGAATGTGTTTGTTTCGTTAGAAATATTTTTCTTTTTGTATAAAATAAATATATTTTTAATTTTTAATTTTAATATTTAATTAGTAAGAAAAAATATAATTACATAATTTATTCTTAGCAAAAATTTGTGTAGAGTGAATGAGGTGGAAAGTAGAGGATTATATATAAGTGACAAGGGGGTAGGATGGTCAAAATAAAAGTTGAGAGTGTTAATATTAGTCCGAAGACAATGAACTAGATAAGTTACTTATTATAAATAATAAGTCTGAAAGTGATAATCTACTTTTTCGATTCTAAATTCTTAATCGAGGTGATAGCGAAATCGTTATTAATCCCATGAAAGATCTCATAGGCCACTAGGGTATATTTGGAACAAAAATATTTTTTTAGAACAACTTACTTATCTACGGTATAATTTAGCAAAATACTATTTTCTTAAAAAAAATAAATTAATTATGTCAAATATATTAGAATATCTTTTAATTTTGTGATCTCGAATTTATCACGTAGAAAGTCAAAGTTAAAATATTATTAAAAATACTTTTTTTTAAACAAACTAAAAAATATTTTTTTTGAAACAGAGAAAAGTATATGAATTCAGATAGAAATGAAATGATCAAGGTGCATGCATGACTTTGATTGTTTGGACGGAACGGAAAGGAGATTTCTTACTTTAGAAATTTTTTTTTTCCAGTATTTTAATTTAAATATCATTTCACTCATTTATGTAAAACAAGTTTATTTTTAAAAAATATTTAGACTAAATAAACATGAAAAATGTTTAAAATAAAATTTCCCAAATTGAAACAAATACAAGAAAGAAGGTGGGTCGAAACAACATTCGGAGCAGCGAACGTCTGAAAGACGTCTATCTTGTCGTCAAGTAATTCTATTTTTTTGTGGTTTGATCCAAAAGTCCAATTTGGTGAGCTGATCAAATTACTCTTTTTTTTTTCCAGTCAATTGTTGATTTTTAAGCTCTACTGTATAAATAATGTGTAGTTTCTTGACTATCTAAACTAAAACTTGCTACTTCTAAAATTTTCATTTCAGGGTCCATAGATCGGTGGAGCAACTGGTAAAGGCTGAATCTTTTTGTCTTTCTTTCAATTCAAGATTGTCTTTTTTTCATTCTGCTTTGTTCGAATTGAGTTGATGGGTGTTTTGTGTTTTCTGATTAAAGAAAATTGATGGGTGTTTTGTGATATGGGTCAGTGTTTTTGTGTGTATACCTGTCTACAAGACTACTAAATGTTTTGTTTGTACCTAAACTGCCTTAGTATTTGTGATCATCAACCAGCACAAATTTTGCTCACTGAGTAGGTTGATAGATGGAAAGAAATCACCTTTAGCAGGATCTGAACCCAATTTGTTTGTTGGTTAACTGTGCTCCTTCCCGGTTGGTGAGGATTCGATTTCCCACACTGTAATCCCTCCAATTCCCCCTTCTCCTGTCCCTAATTTTTTTTATAAAAAAAATCGGTTTCTTATCAAGTAATACCAAATATACCAGGTGAAAAGAAATTAGTTTGCTGACTGCTGTAGGTTGTTCAGTTAGCTTTCTAAGGAGGAGGTTATGATTATGTAGGGGTTGGATTTTAGTTAGTCACACTAGTCCTTTTTATATGAGTGTTTTGTTTGTTTATGCTGTAGCTTTTTGAGTTTCTGGAAGGGGAGGGGTTTACTGGGAATTGATGTGACTGAACCATAACTAAACCCACTGGTGAAGATATGTATCGTTAGGTATATGTTGTGTATCTTTGGCGTGGTATTGGAAGAGAATTTTATTGAAAAAATAGATTGGTGTAGTATATTTGTTGGTGTATGATTGCTTACCAATTTGAGCTGTTGTTTACAATTCCAAGACCTGGGAATTCACTGGATGATTTTAGTGTCTGCTTGAATTTATGGTGAGCATCATCTGTAAAAACATGTGTTGATGGTTGTTTTCTATGGTTGTCGCACTCTGGAACCTTACTGTTTTTTCTTTTGGCGGTTGCAAAATTTGATCACTATAGTGTCTTTATGTAATTCCATCACAATAATCATGGGTCTAATAGGTCATAAATAAAGCTTTGTCTTTTCATATCAGCAATAGCTATTCCCATACAATGAATTAAAGACTTTTTATCAATTCGAAGACTAAATCACCCAATATCCTTAGACAAATCACACACTTAACGTGACGTTTCATGACCCAAGATGAAATTCCTTTTCTTCAGCGTGTCTCACATGTTTAATTGTAATCATGTTTATAGAATCTAAGATCCAATGATCTTTCCCTGGCTGTATGTATTTTCGCTTTTCAGGAAAATCTGTTAGCTTGGAAGTTATTGTTCTTTGCCTGAGCTACTATTTTGGAGTCAGGTGCCTTCTTCTTAATTTAGCTTGAGAATGGAAAATCCTGGAAAGAAGGTGTTGCTTACCTCCAACGGTGATGAAATTTGCAACAACATTGCGTACCATTTAGCTCAGAGGGGTTGCCAGTATGTACTTTACTTGTCTTAAACATACATTAAAATCATGCTACTATTCATACACACATACGCACGCGCGCGCACACACAGAGGTTACTGTCTGTCAGATGGAATATAGTATTGGCACTCTAATACTCGCATTCATAGGCACAGTTGTTGCATAAATGACATAGCATAAACTCTATAATCCTTTTTTTGATTCTACCACTTAGATTGGTTTTGATGGGAAATGAGCGCCAATTGAAGAGTGTAGCGGAGAATATAAAGCAATCACTAAAGGGTAGTGTTGCCGTAGAAGTTGTGGGATTGGATATGACGGAGGATAGAGAAACTGCTTTTGATGAAGCTGTGGACAAGGCATGGAAGATATTTGGGAAGTTGGATGCCTTGGTACACTGCTATGCTTATGAAGGTACAACCTAACCTTTGTTCCAAACAAATATTGTTATTCTTTAGATACAGAAGGATGTAAAATGACAATGAAATTGGTATTTGTCTTCATAAACGAAGAAGTGGTATTTGTGTGTTCCATCCTGAGGTAATTATAAGGTTTGCGTACTCTCTACCCTCCCTAGACCCCACTTGTGCGACTACACTAGGTATGTTGTTGTCTGTTCCATCCAGTATCTGGTGAACCGAGAATCTGTGAAATGTGAATGGCTAACTAATTGTCCAATTAATGACATAGTAAAAGGTTTGGCAAATCATAGCAGATTAGGGCTTAATTATATGAGCAGTTTTATTGATACAATAGTCCTTATATTATGAATAGTAGTTGACCTACAATCTTGATCTTGGTTAATTACCCAATTCATGTCTATTCGGAGGTTTTGGTCAGAGAATATAAGCATCGGGTCATTATCAAACTGAGTGCAATCTATTTTTGGTCGTGACCCGTTAGAGCATTCTAATTCTAATATGCTATGAATTCGATCAAAATCATCTATTGTAGCTTGAAAAAGACTTAGAGTTATCTCAGGAAAGCCATTATGAAAATATAGAATTCTTTTTCGACATGAAATGAATATATCTATACATCGTATACCTTAATTGTGAGATGATAAAATATGGCAGACGCTATTCTGAAATTTAACTTGCATTGAGATGATAAAATATGGCAGACACTATTCTGAAATTTAACTTGCATTGAGATGATAAAATATGGCAGACACTAATTCTGAAATTTAATTTGCATTGAGATGATGAAATATGGCAGACACTGTTCTGAAATTTGATTTGCATTGAGAAGGATGTAAAAAAAAAAGATTGAAATAACGGATTAAACATTTGTACAAGTGTGAACTAATTGAATATAAAAAATATAGGAATGGGCAGTACATTAGGAAAAACACCTAAAAGATATCATGACCTTATCCCACATTCATTTTTAGCTGATCCTTTTGGTTTTATATATTTTTGTTGATTTTCTACAGAGATTGCCATTTGTTAAATTGCGTAGTTTGAAAATTTTGTGTTCTTATAGAATATTACCTGTTTGTGTTTGATAAATACCCTCCTTTATTGTTTGCGTTCTTCTGGAAATGCTATCTTGGAGTGTCCATGTTGTGAAATTCTGATCGCATGCTTGTTGTTTACTAACTTCATAAATTGAATGAAAATCCATTATGTTGAAGTAATTGTAAATACTAAATAGCTCTTGAAAATCTATGATTTGTGAAATTTCTTTTTCATGGATTTGAGATCAATATACTTCTAATGTCAAGTTTCTTCTGGCTGGTGTAAATAATGTATGATGTTCTTCATTCATGTTTTGAGATCATTAAGTTGTAAGAAAGTGAAGATGTAACTTGGTTCTGGTCTCTGGAAGTAACCAACCTATGAAGAATAAACTGGTTTTCAGATCTCAAAGTCCATAGCTGTTATCATGGGGCATGTGGAAATATTTGGGCAATCCATTGTTTCACGTGTTTTAATCTGCTCCTTTCACTTTGCTGATTTAAGTTCCACCATCTTCTTAATTTTTTTCTCTTCAATATCTCAATGCTAGCAGACCTATGGTGGACAAAGCTTTGTCAATTAAGGGCAGTGTTAATGATGTGTGTAAAGAACACTTGTTATGTGTGTCTAGAAAACACAAGCTGCAACCCATACATCTTTAGGGAGATAAAGCACTCAGGGACTCGTTCCCAAAATCTACTTTGTATTTGATAAAAAGCTAGTTGACAAGCAAATTTATCTTAGATATGGTAGATTGAGTGGGTCCAAAAGCTTATTACTGATCCTATCTCATATATTTGCCCACCTGAGGAACTCGTTTCTTCTAGTAACATGATTGCTTTTAGCATTATGTTATTAATTGTTTTTGGTGCTTGCTGGTCTAGTGATATGGACATGCTAGTTTATAGATGCGTCATTAGGCCTTCGTTTAGAGGTGCAGCATGTTTGACATAAGCTTCTTAATGCTTGTCATGCAATGTAACAGGGAAAATGCAAGATCCACTGCAGCTAATTGATGACGAGTTCAAAAAAATTGTCAAAATAAATTTTATGGCTGGATGGTACCTGTTGAAATGTATCGGTAACAGAATGCGAGACGGTAAATCTGGAGGATCCATTGTATTTATGACCTCGATCATTGGTGCTGAGAGAGGAATATATCAAGGAGCTGCTGCTTACGGTTCATGTGCCGCTGGAATTCAGCAGCTGGTTAGGGTAAGTACTTGTTCATATTCTTGTATATTTCGGATGCATGATCAGGTTGTGTTAGACCATACCCTATAAAATCATATGGTACAAGAGATTACCAGTCTTCATAAACATTCGATTCATTGTTTCTCCTGTCGATCACCAGTCTTTTCCGTCTAATTACTAATTTATCCTATTAGCAATCGTTGCTTGTCAGGACATGTTATATCATCCTGTTTTGCATTATGCCTTTGAGGTTCTGGGTAATTTACCCAATTATGTGGAAGAAATAGTGAATTTTGGGAGGTATTATGTCGTTTAATATGGTACTATTAGTTTCTCTAAGTTTACTGTCTTATTTCTTGAGCACTTGAAGCATGACATGCACATGTTGCCAGTTTTTCTTTCGGGTTGTTGGGAAGTTCACTTTGCATGAGGAAAAAATCAGCTTAAACTCTATTGTTAAAGCTGCTTTAGCATCCGGAGCTATGCTGCCTCCGTTATATTACCATTTTATTTTGTCTAAAGGTGTGTTTAATTTGATAATAATATGTCTATATACCTTGCTCAGTTATCTGCAATTGAATTGGGGAAGTACCAAATCAGGGTGAATGGCATATTGCGTGGCTTGCACCTCGAGGATGAGTTTCCTTTGTCAGTGGGTAAGGAGAGAGCAGTGAAGTTGACCAAGGAAGCAGCGCCTCTAAATCGATGGCTTGATCCTAAAAAGGATCTGGCTTCCACTGTCATCTATTTAATCAGTGATGATTCAAGATACATGACAGGAACCTCCATCTTTGTTGATGGTGCCCAGTCTCTAGTGAGGCCGCGAATGCGCTCATATATGTGAACTTTTCTAAATTATAATATACATGAATGGAGAGCCATAGACACTGGAATTATATTATAGTGTTGTGTAAAAACACAAGCATAAGGAGAAGTACTATGAGCTGTGTGGATTTTCTTCTATTGTATTTGGTTTAAGGTTTCAATAATGATGACATTCTTCTTTTTCTCTTGTGATTAAGTGAGAATCTGTTGGTTCATTGTCTCTCTTTGTTGCTGCATATTTGTATCTAATCTGATTGTAAAAACATTTCAAAATCTAGTCTCTGTGCATCAATTTCAAAACCACTCATGTTAGTTTGTCAATTGGATAAATTTTGCTGAAAAGATATAAAATCTTGTTTAGTCCGAAAAAATTTATAAACAATTTGAACACTACAAGCAAGCGTATTTTATTTATCTGAAAAGAAGCGTATTTTGTCGATTTGAACAATTTTTATAGCATATATCATTTGAATATGAAACGAAGTCTTGCTAGTCAATAAAACATGTGAATAATTGGACAATATATACAAGTTTTAGGGTATAAAATATAAAACATATTTTAGTTTATGAAAGGTATAAAATATGGTACATTAACTAGTTTAGATGTGCTTTGAGGATCTGAATTTTTTTTAATAAAAATTGGTGTATCTTCACTTTGTTTTTACTTATTCATATATATGAAATTTGTATAGTCATACTAACTATATCATCGATCATCTATTAGAAAAAAGACAGTACTATATTTCTTTTCAAAAATCTTGTTATCAAAATGCAAAAATAATTACTTTTTTGATTTGTTGATATAAATTTGAATCACGCATTACAAGACTCATTGAAGGCGATACTCCAAACATGATTTTTTCATATAATTTTGAACCTTGAAATTTTTGATTAAGGTCTAATAAAATTCGTGACGCTTCTGATTAGGGATAAATTAGTTCCATGTAAAATGACAAAATTACCCATTCTAATGTCGAGAAGCTTCTTTAAACCCCTTTTCTAAAACCCTACTGCAAATCTGTTAAACCCTCGCTTCCACATATTTCTTCTCCTCTCCTCCGTTACTTGTGGAATACTCTGTTTCAGTGAGACCAAATGCATCGGCTTTCGAAGCGCTCCGTCAAATCTCTTGTTCGTAGCTCAACCGCTGCACGTTATCGAGATGTTGCTGCTCCAATTTCTTCTACCCATTTCTTTTACCAATCGGTATCCCTTTGCTTTATCCCATGATACCTAACTACTGTTTTAATTTCACCATTTTTGATCAATTCTTCTTAAAATTATAGCTTGATTGATAATATGATCTCTGTAATATGTTTTACAAAATCATTTTATACTTCCAATTTCTTTTTTGAATCTGTGTGATATGTTTTACCTTAGGAAAAATCATTTCCCTTGTTTGGTATTTAATTGAACATACGGTATATGGGTATTGTATGAAAATAAGTAACATAAGGCAATAGTATGAGGATGTGTTTTCTTTGATGATTTGCATGTGAAAAGTTGAAATAGTGTATAAGTATTGGTTAAAACAGAGTTGGTGTGTTTTCAGAGTATATTTTGCTATGTATGGTTTATTGTAACCCAGAAATGGAATTGGAAATGGGTTCAGTGAAAGGAATTTTCTGATGTGAACAGGCGGATGCTGATAGTAAAGGTAGATGGTATTCGGTATTGACTTCAGGAAGATGTGATGTCATTGAATCCGCTAAGCCATTTAAATCAAGAAATGAGCCTTTTTTGGGTTGTCGATTTGAGTCAACAGCTGCGGCATCTGATACATCTGACTCACCATCTGAGAAGTTTGAGTATCAAGCAGAGGTAAAAGTCACTATGAAATAATCAGGATAGTAAAGCTGAATAGTGTACTATATCTTTGGAAATCTGATTTTTTTTTGTTAACATGGCAGGTCAGTCGCCTCATGGACCTTATTGTTAACAGTTTGTACAGCAACAAGGAGGTTTTTCTTAGGGAGCTTATCAGGCAAGTAATTGCTAACTTTTTCCTTATTGTTAATAAGCCCCGAACTTTTATATTTCATCAGTGACCTTTGCAAAAACAAGTGTTCATAAAAGTGTTTTTGTATGCCATGCAGCTTTTATAACAATGTTTTTGTGTTGTGAAAGTTTTCTCCTCCATATTTGGTTTCTATTGCAAAGAGTGAGGGTATCACAATTAGAGTCAGTTCTGGGTCTCCCTCTCTATCTTGAACCTAGCTCTGCCTAGCTTGGATGAACAAAGTGTGCAATGAGTGGAGTGAGATCACTACCATACCCTTTTCAATTTATCTAGTGAACATAGGCTTCGTCAAAGTAAGAATGCAAAAACAATATGAAGTTTAGATTTTACTAAGACAACTTAAGATTTGGCTTTATGCGGAAGGCTAATTTGTTGCCTCGTAATACTTGGTCATTGGATTATACCTGGCTCAGTAAACCTTAATGCAACCAATAATCTGCCAACGCTCTCCGTTGTAAACTCTGGAGATCCTATTTGTGTTAGACTGAAGTCACTAAACAAAGAAGTTAAACAATCTATATTGATACTTATGTAGTTCCTTTTTGATGATACAGTAATGCGAGTGATGCCTTGGACAAGTTGAGGTTTCTTGGTGTTACTGAGCCTGAGCTTTTGAAGGATGCAGTTGATCTTGATATTCGCATCCAAACCGACAAAGATAATGGCATTATTACCATAACGTGAGCTTCATAACCTATTTACTTTCTCTTTTTCTGTCTTGTCTGTCCATCATGGATGTTGAAGTTGTCATGGAATATTTGTACAGGGACTCAGGAATTGGTATGACTCGCCAAGAACTTGTCGACTGCCTTGGCACTATTGCACAAAGTGGAACTGCAAAGTTCCTAAAGGCCCTAAAGGTGCGTTACTGTCATGTAATTATTTTTCTTGGTATTTTGCTTCAGGTAAGCTATACATAATGTTTTGTTACATGTGTTTTTACCGCATAACAGGACAGCAAGGATGCTGGTGCTGACAGCAATTTAATTGGTCAATTTGGTGTTGGATTCTACTCGGCTTTTCTTGTTTCTGAACGAGTATGTTTTTTGTCTATGGTCCTACTTTAGACTTACTCTCAATTTCTTGACAATAAACAATTACCTACATTTGTTTCTATGTTTTATTTTGCTAATGAAAGGTTGAAGTCTCAACCAAAAGCCCCAAGTCTGACAAGCAATATGTCTGGGTCGGAGAGGCCAATTCTAGCACATATACCATTCGAGAGGAGACTGATCCTGCAAAACAACTTCCTAGGGGAACCCGTCTCACTCTATATCTTAAGGTTGGTGAATCAATTTGTTTCAAAGGAGAACTTCTTATTCTAGTTATTTTAGTTCCTGAGGACTGTTCTTTTATTCCTGCTCGGTATATGTGCAGAGGGATGACAAAGGATATGCACATCCGGAAAGAGTAGAAAAGCTTGTGAAAAACTATTCACAGTTTGTTTCATTCCCTATTTACACATGGCAAGAGAAGGGATTTACAAAAGAGGTATGTGCATAACTTTTTCAAATAAAAAACCACACTTGGTTTCTTCTACGGCCATGAGTGAAGCTTGGGGTTCTAAATTTTAGCTTTACGCCTTGTGTAAGCTTGATATGACTCCTTATTGCCTTGTGGGTACGTGATCTTGGCTTTTTACAGGTTGAAGTTGACGAAGATCCATCAGAAGCCAAGAAGGAAGGAGAAGATGAGACAGCTGAGGTATCTGTTAATAGAACCTATCATGCGGGGTGGGGTGGGGTGGGGGTTTAACAGAGTTGATTTCTTTTGAAGGAAAGGTTAAAGAGATAGCTTTCTAGATTCACTTGTCTTTTCCCATTTCTGATGAAGTTTCCAACTCCCTGCAACAGAAAAAGAAGAAAACTAAAAAAGTTGTGGAGAAATATTGGGACTGGGAGCTTACAAATGAGACTCAGCCAATATGGGTTAGCTTTCAGATTACTATATTCTGTTGCCATGCTCCAAATGTCTGTTTTTACTAATATACTGTGTTACTGCTTTTCCTTTTCCAGCTTCGAAGCCCTAAGGAAGTGAGTAAAGAGGATTATAATGAGTTCTACAAAAAGACTTTTAATGAATATCTGGAGCCTCTTGCTTCTTCACACTTCACAACCGAGGTACTAAAACTTCTTTGATGCAGAATGCCTTCAGATAGACTATTTTACTACTTCACCCTTCTGTTTAAATTCTAATATGGTATGTTTTGTTTGATGATAATATTGAAGGTTAAGTTTCAATTTTGTTTAACAAGTCTCCTGATTATTTTGTTTTGTCGTTTTTTTGTGTTTGTTACTTAATTTTGCCTTGCTTTTGCTATGCAGGGAGAAGTAGAGTTCCGGTCTGTACTTTTTGTGCCATCTGTATCTGGAATGGGTAAGGATGACATGATAAATCCCAAGACAAAGAATATAAGGCTATATGTGAAGCGAGTTTTTATATCTGACGACTTTGATGGTGAACTGGTAAGAGGAAGCCTTTGTTATTTTTTAAGAGAAGTTCAATGCTCTAAATGGGAGCTGACTGGTGTGCCTTTTCTTTGGTATAGTTCCCACGCTACCTAAGTTTTATCAAAGGTGTAGTTGACTCAAATGATCTTCCCCTTAATGTATCACGAGAGATTCTTCAAGAAAGTCGCATTGTAAGTGCTTCAGGCATACTATTCTTTTTGAGACAATGGTCCATTTATTATTTGCATGTTAAGCTTTCTTCTGACTAACTGTTTCACGTTGGTTGTAAGGTTCGCATCATGAGGAAGCGGTTGGTGCGGAAAGCGTTTGAAATGATTCAGGGCATTGCTCTCAGTGAAAACAGAGATGTATATTCTCTTCTCAAGTCCTTGTGTTCGTGGCTTTAGCTTTGTATATTTGTTGTGAAATCATTTATTTAGAGTGTGTTTCTTTTCCTGAAAGTTGTTACCTTCGATTTGATGCATTAGCTGGTCATTTCTTCGTACTCTCATTGCACTTCTTTGATCCTTTATGTGTAGGACTACGAGAAGTTCTGGGAGAACTTTGGGAAGCACCTAAAGTTGGGATGCATTGAAGATCGTGAAAACCACAAGCGTATTGCTCCACTTTTACGTTTTTTCTCTTCTCAAAGTGAAAATGAGATGATCAGCTTGGATGAATATGTTGAGAACATGAAACCAGACCAGAATGATATTTACTATATTGCTTCTGATAGTGTGACGAG